ACACGACATCGGACGACTCAGCCTGCCAATCGGACGACCCAAACTTCACCGAGCACGCGAGAAGCCCAGAATCGCAAACGCGCGAAACTAGAATTTGCCACTCGCGATTCAACACATCTAAATAGATATTTGGATTTTCTAAATTTATATAAATATATGTTTGATAAGAAGTAGAAACATGAGATCAAATTCTATCGCACAAACTCGATTTCTTAAGAAAATTAAGAAACAGAAAATTGTAAATTCTTTTATTGAAAGCTTAATAACCGTAAGAAAAAATGGAATTTTTCATTATGACTGTGGAAACATATTTTTTAATTTTTATTATATAGTAAATATTTTTATATTTTTATATATTTTTATATGATTATAAATATAAATATTTATAAATATGATAAATATTTATAAATGTGATATTTATAAATATAATAAATATAAATATTTAATATTGCAACATCTAATATAATAAACTGAAATTTCTTAAAAAATATTTTTAACGTTAAAATTAATTTTAAAAGGAGTATTATAAAGAAATATTTATAAATTACTCTTGCGTTCTATGTATTTATTTATATGTTCAAAGATTTATTTACATGTTATATAATAGTATATATAGGTCTAGTTTTTAGTGATTAAATTTGTATATTGATATTTAAAAATAATAATCCATGAGCGAGCATGGCATAGTAGACAGTGCATTGGTCTTGCCATCAAATCGTACATTCATCGTATAGTATCGGGTTAACTATTGCTGTAAATTTCACTTAGTCATAAATACCACACTGTTTTAAAATAATTTATTCTCTCGTTAGAATGGCTCTTAATTAAAGCTTTATGCATATCGTCGCCCGTTGTTTCTTATCGCCGCTATGTCTCTCTCGCCCGCTTACCGATAAAGTTAAAATGTGATTTATAAGCTGCCTGCGTCGTGCAGCTCTCAGCTTTCCATCATATCGCCCTATGCGGGTTATTAATCGCGGAAAGTCAGAATCACATCTAGCAACCGATGTGATCACATTATTATTATAGTATATGAATCATCATATAATTTAATCCCCCATCATCGCGTTCGTCATTTATTCGCTCTCATACATTTTTTTTTCAAACTTTATTCATTGAAAAAGATTCTATTGTTTATCTCACAATTCTTTAGTTTCATAGATGTATTTTTGAACAAAATAGTTAAAAAAATTTTTTTTTTTTAAATGTATCTGTGATCGATAAAAACAAAATGTCCAATGAATGATACTAAATGAATACTTACATGTTGCGTATAAATAAATTATTTTGGATTGTTTAATTACGTACATCTTTGCAAATATAAAAGTGAATTTATTATAACATGCATAGAAAACAAGATTGTCAAGATAATTTAAAAATTAATCTATTGTTTTCTTTTCAATTTATTAAATAAGTTTGCTTTCCACTAAAGCAATTAAGAAGTTAATAAAAGGGACAATTCACGATGGCGACGGCGAGTGAAATTACAGACCGGTTTTCTCCGAAGAGGATAATTGAAAGGGCGAGAAGTAACCCGTTGCCTTAGGGTTGAATGAAGAGGGTAAAAGGAGGAAACAACTCATGCTTCCGTTTATGGTACCTTAAGGTACTGTAAGGATATGAATGAGCTTGTAGAAGACCCTTCCCTCTCTTTTGGTCAATGAATGAAGTCGCAAAACTTTTCGACCCCTGACATGGAGACACGTTTCTCTTCAATGGACGATGAAAGGTGATTATCGCTAGCACGAACTAGCACGAACATTTTATTTATTCGATCGATTATCGCTCTTAAGAAACAACGTGAAAGAATCACAACAACTCTAAATAAATCGCGTCGCGATAATAAATCTCCGCGGGAAGCCGTTTGGCGGTCAAGAATGATAATAAGGGACGGTGCTTTTATTAATAGAGGAATGCGGGAACCAGGGCTATTAACCCCTCCTCCTTCCCCTTACTTGGGTTGGATCAGCTGTTCTTCGGGGTCCTTCCTGATGGTTGCGCGTACACGCCCCTTTAAATCTCAGTGGAGAACCGTAAAAGCTGAGACCGCAAGATACGACAATGAGCCGCAGGCCCGTTAATGTATCGTCGATCTTATGTTCTTAAAAATAAAACATTATGAGTGTAAAAATAAAACATTATGAGTCGCTAACGTTTTCACAATTTAAATGCATCTCAAAAACATTTAGTAAAACGTGACTGCACATTGCTTTGCGATTTAAATCCCTTTAAATTCTTTTTTTGGAAAATTTAATCGTATAAATGTTGAAGTGATTGCATATTATTTAAAATCAAGCATTTTGAAAAGTTCTGAAGAATTTTAAATTCTTCCGCAAAAGTATCTGAATATTTGAAACTTTTAAA